TCTTATAATGATCTTATCTACTAAATGCTAGAGGTTAAGATCATTATGTGGAATTTCAAGTTGAGTAAAAAGAAAAGTTTTGAATTTCTAATGGTGGGGTACTTTTTCTAATTTTCTAAGACTAGTCAATAGGAAAGTCCTATGGCTAGACCTAGGCTACTAAAGAAGTTTCTAGACCTCAACCAAAAGTGAGGTCAACAGTTTGCTAGCCTTCGGAATTGTTCGCCTTGGATTACTTCGCCTGTTCGACTGTTTGGCCTCGCTTCATCCACCTATTGTGTCTGCTTCATCACTCTTTTATTTATTAGAATAAAAGAGATTTGCTAGCCTTCGCTACTGTGCGGCATTTTCGACTGCTTCTTCCGCTTCGACTTCGGCTTCTTCTCGCACCCAAGATTGAAGGCTTCGGCACTCCTTCCTAGACCCACGGCTTCGACATCTTGGCTTCAACACATTTGGCGTGAAGATCAGGGAACAAATCATCCTCATCGTCGCAGGAATAATCAATAGCATTTGGAACGTATAATAGAACGCAGATCCTACTTGTGGGTTATGATCGGTAGCATTTGGATCAGGACATAGATCCTGCTTATAGGCTATGATCAATAGCATCTGGATCGTGTAACTATATCGTATTTGTGGGCTATGATCGGTAGCATTTGGATCAGGACACGGATCCTACTTGTAGGTTATGATCGATAGTATCTGGATCGTATAACTGGATCTTATTTGTGGGCTATGATCGGTAGCATTTGGATCGTCTAACTTGAAGTGAATCCTTCTAGTTGCTATAATTCAAATTTATAGACAACAAAGATAAAGGAATTTTTGCTTTTCTTTGCTCAAATCATGTTATGGTTCAGAAGTTGTCTTTGAGACTTTGGTATTCTCAGTTTCAGGACTTTCGGCTTCGGCACTCGCGGCTTGGGAATTGTTGGTCCCAACAAAGTTTATTGTTGGCAAATTAAAGCTTCCTGATCAGTCAGCATCAATTTGAGGGGAGATGTCAATCAGGAAGGCCAGAAATCAGAAAGTTAAATTAGAAGTTTTCTAAAATTAGGAGCTTCCTTATTTAAATTATTTCCAATGTCTTTATTCTGATTTATTTCCCTTTTAGTTGAATATTTAGATCAGGAATATGTATCATTAAGTGACCTGACATAGATTATGCACTTTATTTTGTACCTAAAATAGATTGTAAGATTATTATTTAATAGAATGAAAGGGAAAAAAACATCGAGCCTATTCAGTATTCAGTCTATTTTTCTCAAAACTTTGACACAAAATATCAAATTTGCAAATTTAGCTAATACATATGGGGGACATGCTGGTTTAAAGTGTGCAGCAATATGAGGGCATGCATTTGTGGGTTGAAGCTCATGCATGGACTTCTAACCGCTTAAGTTGGGGGTTGAAACACTTACCCCACATTTTATAAGGCGAAGTGTTGAGTTGAGGGCACAAAAAATACAATAAAATATAAGTAAATGTTCATTGGTATGCTTAACCAAGTAACGTCCAAGAAAATATTTAAACCAACAAATTCATAGACTAGAAACGTGTTGGTGCACTGCCCAACCGAATACCAACAGTATCTTCTTCTATAATTCCGCTAGCTTCTTTCTATCACGAAAAAAATGAAGGAAAATCCATTGACCATTAATAGCACTGTTGAAGTCACTGAGTTAAGAAAAGCCCATGGCATGTCGTTGGATCAGAAGCAACTAGAGTTATTGGATCACCACAAGCCTAACCACAGATATACGTCCACCCAGAAATAAGATTATGAAATAAATAGAAATTATGTTGCCTTATCGTAATATTAAATCAATTTTTTGCTCGCTGAAGTTGTTGAGTCAAGTCATTTCATCAGAAAAAGAAGATAGTAAACTTAATTCACACGCTACCTCAACAGGTCAAAAGGCAAAAATATAATAATAATTATTATTATTATTATGCATTTTCCAAATTATTCAATGGAAGGAGGTACTCCATACTCTAGAGAGCAAAATGGTTGATAGATGTGAATGCAAACTTCAGTTTACAATCTTCAATTCTTTTTTAATAGTCAGAGCAGAGAATTCTTAACGTAACCTTTGTTTCCAAAAATTTGATAAGTGTTACCGTGCAAAAATCATAGAAAAGAATACAGCAGGTAAAGGTAAGAAACTCACCAACTGTAGTCCCAACCAAGAGATTGCAAGGCTTCCACATCGCAGCTTGCACCAGAGGTCATCGAGACCTACTAGCAATCCCGAGAACAAAGAAAAGAATAATTCATTAACCGTACTAAAAGCTCCATCAAGAAAGAACAGCTAGAACAACTTTCACAAATAAAGAAATAGAAAGTAAGAAATTTGTCTCTCTATCCTACCATATGTTAAGAAGAAAGATTTAGGCTAGAGATTTCAATAAATCAGGGAATATGCATGGTAATTAAATGACCAAAGCATTGGATCATAAATCTTGGAGATAAATATAGATTTACAATCACCAAAAAAAAATGTTATGAAAGAACAATCTACTACATAGTTTTTTTTTTTTTTTTTATTCTACTACATAGTTGAGGCATAAGAAAAGTCCCCCCTTTAGCTGGTAGATGTAACTCACAACCAAGCTTGAAAAATACTTGAAAGGAGCTGGTATGATAGAAACACTTAAAAACTAAATTCCACTGAAAAAAAAAATAAAGGTATTTACAATTTCACTCTACTTTAGTTTAACAAGAACTTGCTAAACCTAACAAAAATTAAAAACAATATTGATTATAATTGCTAGAAATTAAGGATCAGTTTGATTCATAGCAAGCTAAAGGAACAGTTGTGAATCTTGTTTCTAGATCCATTCAAATGCTATCAAAAAGTAACTAGCTCAAAATATTTTCTAATAGCTTCCCCCGCTAAATTTCATACAAAGCAAAAAAAAAAAAAAGTTAATGAAAAGACTGAATTGGTTCAGATTTAGTGGATTGAGAGACTAAATTAAACATCTTAAAAAACTTAGAACAATAATAGGCATGCCAAAAAGGTTTAAAGAACAATTTGATAATTTGATCTTTATTTATTTTACTTAGATATTGATGTAAAATATCTTCAGGCCAAGTTTGCATTTTTTAGACTCCAACCATTTGTTGTACGTATAGTTTTTTTTTTCCCTCCATTTTAACCAACAGTTGAAATTAGTTCTCTTGCCGTTGCAAATTTTAGGCATCCTTATTTCTCTTAAGACAATCCACCCTTGAATGATTTGGGAATAATGTGATAGAAACTAGAACAACCTTCTCCAAGATAATATCCTTCCAATAGCCTTGTTTTCCCATATTTCCAACTTTCTGAAAGCAATTGTGCCTTCGTTCACTTATAAATGGCGCTTGACACCACTCTTCCACTTCATATTCTATTAAACTGTACAATATATATATATATATATTAAAATATAGATAACCAAATAAAACATTAAAAAAATAAGGATTTATAAAAATTGACCCTAAATAATTGGGATAAGTGAAATGAAAATGCGGAGATACCTCCAATTTGATCTCACCATCGTCATTAATCCTATCTCAGAGCCAACATTAAGAATTTTCATCTCCATTTGTTCTTGTTGAACGATGCCTAAGAATAAAAATTTACTTTGCAAAATATTTACACACCTTGTAGGCTTGTGGCCATATGAACTTTTATCTAGTCAATCTCATTTTTAATTCTTCCAAATTAATTAAGTCATCATGTTCTTACATCTTCAAACCCTATTGAATGCCCAAACGCATAATCAATTGGGGCTACTTTCACAATCTCCTTAATATAATCAATTTTCATAATATCCTTTCTTTTTTACTACAAATTTTCTAAACTTCTCATTTCTTCAAAAGCAACCTAACTATAAATGTTTTCTTTTTATCGTTGAACTTAGATTCATAGCGCTTTACTCAATAAAGTTGTATAGATATATAATATATTTAGAATTAACCTATAAGTTTTCATTATTAATTATTTAACTAGTATAAATCATTTCACAAAATATAAAAAATATAATAGTGTGGTTAGTTTGTGCCCAACCACTAGCCGATTCCTTTAATAGGAGAGTTTCATCTTTGAGTGTCTCGGAAGACCAGTTGGGACAGGTTACATGTAGTAATTTAAACAAGATATTGCCTAGCAAAATTTTTAATCTCGTCATGTATTTCAGAAAGAAATATCTCATGTCATTCTATGCGAACTTCCAGCATATGGAGAAAATTTTGAAGATCTGCCACAGAATTCATTTATGATTGTAGAATGGTCTAGGAGATTAAAACATTCTATCCAAGCTTATCTATAATAAAGCCAGCAGGCACATAAATGGTGGAAAAAATTGAAGAAAGGCTCCAGATTTCATTTCTGATTGTAGAATCATCTAGGTGGTTAGGTCAGAAATGAAATCTTTGGCCCAGTTGGTTCATTGCTTGCAGTTAGCTGCCTATTACAAAACATTCCAAGAGTCAAATTAATTTTTAGTATATAAAGTCAGGATTGCATAATTTAGTTTTTAATTTTGACTCAATTGACATTCATGAAATAAATCTGCTTGCATCAAATTTGATAAAGCAAAACTCTCACCTGTTCTGAAAGGAATCATTTTAAAGTTCAATAATAGGAATCATACCATAATTTATTTCCTAATTACATTATGATCATGTGCATGCAAAAAGTGCAATTATCATCGTCATCATATACATAATTGTAACTGAAATTGACATAAATTCTACTGCTTGAAAGAAAGTTTACTAATAGGAATCAGACCATAATTTATTTCCTAATTACATGATGATCATGTGCATGCAAAAAGTGCAATTATCATCGTCATCATATACATAATTGTAACTGAAATTGACATAAAGTCTACTGCTTGAAATAAAGTTTACTAACTAGGAATTTGACTGCGTTGATAAGAGAATCCATTCTTGAGTATATTAGTTACCAGATAAACCTCTAATTATGATAGGGTAATAAGTACGTGCCAAGGTATGGTGGAAAAACCACACCACACTCACTAACTATGGAGTACTTTTATCATATGAAATTTGTGTACACTAACACACCCCATCAAGCTGAAAATATAAATTAACCAGTTCCGCTTATCACGTAATCAAGAAAAAAATAAACGACGCGGTGTCTTTGTATAAGTATTTCTCGTTTGGTTTAATCTTGAGACATAAGGACAACCTTTTACAAAAGACATCACTACAAAAGAAATGCATATTAACTTCCACATTTCTTTTGTAGTGAAACACGTGGTTGTTGTAAATGTACATGGTAGTACAATTATTGTTGCAAAAAACCATAGGCTATGTAACGGAAAAATGAAACTCTCCTTCGAGGGTCTTTATCCACATTAATGTCCACGCAGAATGGGCGATAACTTATATAACACTGGATCTTGTCATAACAAGTTAATACTTAATTTTATAAATGATAAACTTACTTCCAACAAAAATATATATCAAACATAGTTAACATCTAAGAATGCTTCCATGACTAAGTGCTTACTTTAGTATATAATTATCCTTTTATATGAGTATTTTTGATATACTTCAAAATGTGGAGAGCAATGCTCTAATGCTTCTACTTTGGAATCTGCAAGCGTGTTGGCTCATAACTCCAACAACAAATGAAATATCAAGCCTAGTTATAGTGAGATCAATCAATTTATCATCTAATCTTCAATATCAAAAAGGGCAAACCAAGAATTCCTCACTATTTAAAGTTGTGCCAGAGTCCACAAATATATCAGAAGTTTTGTAACTTCAGAAAAATGGATACCATATTTCTTATGAAAGACCACTTCTATAAGGAAAATTCAAATTTGAAAAAGCAATCAAGTCCTTCTAGATATCAAGTCATATGATACATTCACAAAAATTTTTTACCTTATAGAGATCTTTTTTATCACTCCAGAGAGCATGATGTCATCAGCAAAATAGCTAATATGATCAAGCTTGATAGCATATGCTTGATGAAGATGAATTGAAATGTGTGGCACTATTTTGAAGGCCAATATCAATAATACCTTTGTGATTTTTTACAAACCAACCCTAGGCTTTTTTAAGCCCATAAAAGGGTCTTCTTAAGTAGGCATATGTGAATCTCCCCTTGAGCAACATAACGAGGCAGCTACTCTATAAATATTATCTCATATAGCTCACCATAAAGCAACGCACTACTTTCATCAATTTGCAACAAAGCTGTACAATGTTTGATGGCCAAAAATAGAATTTGTCAAAATAATCAATCCCATCAATCTGTGAGAATCTTTTAGCAGTTATTCAATCTCTGTAGTGATTGATCAACTCATGAAGACAAAATCTGACAGTGAACACACATCGATAAGCAATCAGACAACCAAATCACACATGCGCTCATCTCAATATCCATAGCCCATTATTACAGAGAGTTGGTGACTAATTGATCGAAAATTATAAATCAATTGTCGTGTGAGCCCGTGAATTTTGCAAGCATTTGATTTCGAGGAAACCCTACGTGTGCGTGAATGAAATGAAAGGAAAATAACCAAACCCTCAGAAGCTGTTTGGTGGCAGGATTTGAGCAGGATTTGAGCAGGATTTAACCTAAATCCTGCCTAATATCAGAAATGACGTCTTTAAATCCAGTTTCATCTCCCTTTCTGCCATAAATTCCGGATTTAGTAAGAAAGGGACGGTAGGAAAGTGAAGAAAGACGAAGGTTACCTTCCCAAATGGTTCCAGGTAGAAGCGGAACGGAAATGGGAGAAAGAGAGGAGTTTCGGAGGTCTTCGTATGCACCGATCCCGTCTGCCTTCCCAGCTAGCTACAGTCGCGGTTTCGTGATCGAAAGGAGGGAGGGGAAGACCGGGGATGGTTTCGCTCGAAGCTGGGTAGGCCAGGGTTTCGGCCGGGTAGGGTAAGGTGAGTTTGCGGCATTGTTGAACATAATAATGCCAATTCCAAGGTATTTACATATCTAACACCTAAATTTAAATTATTTACGCTTGAACCACACAAAAATATTATTTTTCATACCACGTCAATAATTTTAATACATTGATTTGTAAAATGTGTTTTTCATACCACGTCAATAATTTTAATACATTGATTTGTAAAATGTGTTATATATATATTTATTTATTTATTTATTTTTTTATTTTTTTATTTTTATTTTTTTTATTTTTTATTTTTTTTTGAGAAGGAGTATTATACTACTCTAATTCTATTAATTGAAAAGATCATACAATGTTGGGGAGGAGAGATGGATCCCTAGAAGTAGATAGAGGTTTAATCTCTCACAGTATAACTCCACCCAAAAAAGACTACAAAAATTACAGACAAGTATACCTGAAATGGACAAAAAATGCACCCAAAATATCTGAAAAGTATCAGTAAATTGTATAAATCTTTGATGGCAGCAATAGTATTGAAAGAGAGCCAACCCGATCCCCGAAGATGCAGAAGACCCGCGGCAAAGAGCTTCTAACTAATTCCCATCAACAGTGAAGCACAATCAACATCCAAAAGAAAGAAAATTCAACAGCAGCTCAAAAAAAAAAAGGGTCTTCAAAGTTAAAATGAAACAAAGAAACCACTTAATGTGAGAAGAAAATGGAATTATATGAAAGAAAAGGTCCAAGACCTCCAAAACCATGCCCAGGTATCCCCAAACCGAGCAGCAAACATGACCAGAAGTACAAATCAACAAATCAGAGATTTTGAAATTGGCTATAGGAATGCCAAATATATTTCCAAATAAACTCATAAGGTGTAATGCGACTAACCAACTAAGCTCAACATATATTGACCAGCAAAGGTCATAAAGCAAATACCATGAAAAAAGTTTCCAATCATCCAAAAATATGCCCACAAAACTCAAAATCGAGCAGTAAACAGGGCCAAAAATACAATACAACAAACCTGAGTTAGATAATAGCTGAAAATTGGCTACCAAAAAGCCAATATAATTCCAAAATACCCGTAAAGAGCAACCAGCCAGAGTAAGACAAACCCAGCAAGAAAGCAACTCAAAACCAAGTATTAACATAAATGAAAGAGAGTAGTTAGGGACGAATATAAGACAGATCCAATTGATCACCAAGAGTTAACTGTTTTGAGGAATCAGTGGGTTTATACCGACAAATAGATTTTTCATTCCTCTTTTAGCAAGTCAATCAGCAGAGGATTTGCCCTCCCTTAAAATGAAACTAGCTTTAAATTCTAAATGATACTGATTAATGAGATGCCAATTTCTGTTAAAAATGTAGAGCAGGTTCCAATGAGAATAAGTAGTAGTGGAAAAAATATCATAAAGAATGATAGAATCAGTTTCAATAATACACCTCTGAAAGTGGAAAGAAATGGCAACCTGTAAACCCAGCAAAGCTGCCCAGCATTCAGCTTCCAGTGGGCAGGTGGCAGAGCTCGGTGAAGCAAAGAAGCATATAATCGTGCCTAAACAATCCCTAATAATACCCCCAGCACCAGAGGCAAAGACAGTTCAACTGCCATCAATATTCATTTTAAGCCAATCAGCATTAGGGGGCAGTCATTTGACAAGGATGGGTCTGGCACATGTTGGACGGGCATGGGTAGACATATCCAAACCCAAACATCGAATAGCAGTAAATAAGTGAGAAAGTACATAAGATACCGTAAGGGGAGGAGGAGGAGAGTATGAAAGTTTGTAGCTATTTCTAGCAAACCAAATAAACCACAGTATCCTTAAAGGAAAATAGGCCAGTTTAAATTTAAATAAGTGGGATGAATGCCAAACCGACAAATAAGCATTTATGGTGGGGGTTGTAGGTCATTAAACTCCAACATAACTCCCAAGAATTCTCCAGACCTCACTGGCAAAATTACAGGTATAAAAAATATGTGTATTTGTTTCTTCCTCACAATTACATGTATAGCATTTAGAAGCGAGCCTCAATCCTTTCAACTTTAATATAGCATCCAATGGCAACATAGTGGAGAAAAATCTACATAACAAAAAAGAAATGGAAGGGGATAAAAGATTATGCCAGATTAATTTGCCCCAAGTCAAGGTGGTAAAAGTATGCAACTGTTCATAACCGCTTTTGTAATAGAAATCAGAGAGGAGACTTTCCAAAGGTGTTTTTCTTTTCTGTGTTGAGCAATAAGAATTGTAGCAATTTTAGCAACATTAACACCATCCAAACTCCTTAATTTATAAACATCCCAAGTTCTATCAAGCCAAATATCAGAGACTAACATGTCATGATCACCATTGTGAGAAGAAAAGTGTAGTTGATCTCTCAATCTCCATTGTTCACGCCAGAAAGAAACATTACCTTCACCAAGATCCCAAAAAAGAACAAATACTAAATATGTTATTAAGCTAATTATAACTATATAAGTTTGATGTGTGATTAAATTATAATTAATTACTAAAATTTAAATTAAATATTAACACTTAATTAAATTTATATAATTCAAATTATTTATTATTTAATTTAGCAATTAATTAATATATGATTAAATAATGAACATTAAAATTGTGCTTGATAAATAATTAATTTAACAAATTTTATTAAGTAGTAGATAGTTAGTTATTGGATAGCATAATTAATGTTAATAATTTAATTTAATTAGATGTAATTATCAAATCATTAATATGTGATACTAAACTCATACTTCAATTATCAAACATAAATTATGAAATAAGTTGCGAAACTTTTTTGTCTGATTTAAATGAATGTTTAAAAATAAGAGTGCAAATCATTTTTTTTACAAAACTCTCTACTTTTTTTCATCCAAAAGTGGGGCAAACATTGGCGTCTCTTAAATTTTTTTTGTTATAATTTGTTAATATAAATTGTTAATTCGAGTTAAATTTCAAATTGAATTTTCATTTTTGAACTGATAAATTAGATTTTAGAGTGAATTTCCACTTTAAAAATAGAAATTCAAACTTCACATGAGTAAACAATAAATACTCTTTAAATCATATTAAATATTTTATTTTAAGAAAATATTTCCACGTGTGCAATCAATCTCGTAAGGGGTTGCGGGAACGAAAATGCTTAGTTCTATTATTGGTTTTATAGCTGCAAATAAAATATGAAAGAAATATGCTTGTGAAAATGTTGGAGTAGCTACAATTGCATACAATATTATAAATAAACGTCTCAATGGATTTAACGATCTTTGACATACCAAATATCACTATGATTATAAGCTATTCGATTTCAATTCCACCCAAAATTAATTTTCGAGCGATTGTTGTTGTTCGTTTAGCAAATTTGGATTTACTAAATCAACTTATTAGTTGTTTTTAACCAACTTATCCCACAAGCTTCAACCTCTCTAAATTCCGTAAAACCAACTTTCAACTACTTTTGGTGAATCCCGGATTTAAGGCAAAATAGAGCAAAAATGTGATTTAAGAACCTATAGGGTTTATAGTCATTTTTTTGTCATTTGGTAGGTTTTAGCCCCTAATCAAACTCTTTTCTATGAGCTGCTTGGTTGCAAGTAAAATTTAGTTTGAATATAATTGAGTAGATCCTATAAATCCTATAAAACTAGATTTATGAAATCTTGAAGTGTTTAGATTCTGAAAATTGTTTGGGATGTTAAGAAGTAAATCATTGGAAATATAGATAAAGTGTTTGGTGACATTAATAAGACTTACTAAATTCCACATGCTTCAGCTTCTCCACAACAACAACAACAAGCAGCCTTTATCCCACTAAGTGGGTTTGGCTACATGAATCCTTTTTTCTCCATTGCGTCCTATTGAGAGTCATATTTTCATTCACAATTCTAATAAATTAAGATTTCTAATAAATTAAGATTATTTTTTTTATACAATATGCCCAATTCTTTGGAGGTGGTCTATGTCTGTCTTACTTGACATAAGTCGAATCTAAAACATCTACTCTCCTAATATGTTCATCAGAAGGTGAAATTTATTGTGATCAAATTATCTAAGATGAGTCTCTCTAATTTTATCCGCCACAAAAGCTACACCAACCCTATCACGGATATACATATTTCGCATTTTATCTCTATGTGTAAAACCACTCATCTACCTAACATTCTCATCACGACATCACTTAATTTTATTCTTCTGTTTTAAAGATAAACATTCTGAGCCATAGAGTAATCCATGTCTCACCACCACCAACAACAATTCTTTAACCCACTAAGTGGGTCACCTACATGAATTCGTTTTCTCTATTGCGTCTTATTGAGTGTCATATTTTCATCTAATTCTAATAAATTCTAATTCTAATAAATTTTCATCTAATTCTAATAAATTAAGATCATTTTTTATACAATCTGCCCAAGTCTTTCTAGGTCTACCTTTGCCTTTCCTAGCATAAAACAAATCTAAAACATCTACTCTCCTAACTGAATCATCAGATGGTGGATGTTTAATTTAACCAAACCATCTAAGATGACTCTCTAATTTTATCCACCACAGGAGATACACTAACCCTTTCATAAATATATTTATTTTTTATCTCTAAGTGTAAAGCCACTCCTCCACCTAAGCATTATCATCTCAGCAACACTTAATTTTATGTTTTTCTTTTAAACGCGAACATTCTATGCCATCGAGCATTGCAATTCTCACCGCCATCTTCTAATTTATTTTTTTTTTCAGTCCAAGCGGTACTTTTTTTATCACCAAATAGACCTGAATCATTCCTCCACTTCAACCAACCAAATTGAATTCTACTAATAACATCCCCTTCTACATCACCATCACCTAGAACACTGGACCCGAGATATCTAAGGCGTTCACTCCTTAAATATATCCACAAAAAGTAAGGCGTTCACTCCTTAAATATATCCACAAAAAGGATATCAACAACATAAGGCATAAACCAAGGCGTATCCTCAAGAAAATGTCCAATAAGAGCAACCAACCATACTTTTGAGCGTCAGAG